CTCTCTTTTTAAGTCCACCCTCAAAACTCATCTGTTTAAAATTGCCTATTCTTAAATTTCTGTATGTTTTAACTTTTATCTTCTATTTTTATCATTGTGTATATTTCCAGTTTTTATCTGTTGTACAGTGTCCTTGGGTGCTTTGAAAGGCGCTATTTAAATAAAATGTATTATTATTATTATTATTATTATTGTGACCATCATGCTATGGCATGTGTCTGCCCAGGTGTCATGGACTAGGGGCAACATCCTTCCAGCACGCAGCATCAGACTGTGACACGTCATTCACCTTGGCCACCTAGTCCCCACAGAACCATACAGACCCTTCTTTCTTCAATACAAGAACTATGGGGCTACACCAGGCACTGTGGAACTTCTCTATTACACTCATCTCCAGCATAGCAGTCACCTCCTTCTGAGCTATTTGCCTCTTGTGTTCAGCTAACCTGTAGGGATGTGTTTCAACATGTTGCTCTGTGAGAGTGGTGTGACTATGCAGGATCCCAATTGTGTTCATCCTCGGGAATTAACTAAGGAGTCATGGATTTTAAACTCTTCTTCAGCCGCTCCACCAACCCGTCAGTCTGAGGGTGGTAGCAGATTAATTCCCCCTATTTCATACAGCTGTTTCAGTGTGCGAGACATGTGCCCAGTCAGTCAGTATCTTTGCTCGGAGATAACCAGAAACAGCACTAGCAGAAATTAAACACACTTTTTGCAGAAACTCTGGCTCAGCTTCATGATACTGTGTCCATAATCCACCAGAAATAATACAAAGCAATACAAGCACTCCAGTGAAATGGCCTGATAAGGTCCAGGCCACTGTGCTTAACTACTGGTAATGAGCACAAAGACACTTTTGGAATGGCACGCTGGTTCAGCAGCTGACAGTGCGGGCAGGATGCACATCATTGGTGCACGTTCTGTCAGGTACCCGGCCAATAAAATCAGTCCATTATTCACTCCAGAGACAGACTGCTCAACAATCAACAAAGCAGGAGCAGGGCTGGAGAGCCTCAGGGCAGGGACCGGTGCCACCAGGTGATACTCTGCAGTGTGGCTGCCGCCTCCAGGCTTGGCTGCTGATGGCAGTGGGCCCACTGGGCTGTCTCACGGGAGAGTTCCTCCACAAATTGCTTGTGGATGGCCAATTAGAGATGTGGATGACAAATGCAAAGGGGCAATCATACACCTCCATCCTGGTGTTGCAGAGGCCCAGCGAGTCCATAAATACTTTATGGATTCAGCAGAGCACCCTCACAAAGCTGGCTGCAGGCTGGGCTTCCCCCGACAGCAGCAACAACCGCAGTGACCATGCCTCTGCTGTCTCCTGCATCGTCTCCAGGAACGCCTGGGTATCATCCTCCTCCCGATTCAATGCAGTGTCACTATCGGGCTTGAGACAAGCAGCACTGGAGAAGATCCAGACTGTGGGACCAGCTGCTTTAGCCCCTACATCTGGCACTTGGTCTAGGCCTGCAGCTTCTTTAGCTGCACATAATGCACCACTGCCTGCTCCTGGTGTATCGTTCCCTTTGTAGTGCCTGCATATGAGTCTGTGTCTTTGTTCAGTCTGTGTTATGTGTTTCCTTTTTTACTTTGAAAGTCCATGTCTGATGTTAATGTGTCTGGTTTTGCTTCCTCTTGTCTCGTTAGGCCTGATTTGCCCCAGCTGTGTTTCCCTCCTGTTACCCATTCCCTGATTGCTCCCTCTGTGTATTTAAGCCCAGTGTTTCTTAGTGTCTGTGTCGCGATCAACCGTTTACTTTGCTGTGTGTTTTGCTTGTCCACCGGTGTAAGTTTATTTTGAGTTTTTTCCAGTTATGTCATGTTTGCGTTCAGCATTAAAGCTGTTTTTGTTTAAGTTCTGTCTCCGGAGTCTGCACCTTGGGTCCTATTCCTGCCTGCACACAGCCACACCTAACATCTTTCTGTTTTCGTATTTTGGATAAGATTTGAGTCCGCCTTCGCAGTAGCAGTTGACATTCGGTTATTACGCACACGTTGATCAGTTATCTTGTGGCAACTGACGAATTGAAACAAATGAGCGTGCTGTGTGTGCCACAGCACAACAAACATTACCTGTCCTTTTATTAACTGCACAAGTAGTGCTGGTCATTAGCTGCTAGCTAACTGGGTAATGGTGTGATGAGTATCTAGCTTTGCTCACTGTTTTAGGGAAGATATTTCATTTTAAATTAAGTTACAGAGCTTTTCCTGCCTTTCTGGAGAGCTTATATTTCACTAAAAACTATCTAATATGCATATCCACATAATTATGTATTATTATAATTATGATATAAAACATACCCTGTGTTTTAAAGAAAATACATTAAGAAGCAGATTATTATAGATTTATATTTCAAATATGACAAAATGATGATTTTACCACAGCAGTAAAATTATTGTATCTCGACAGTTTAAACATTTAATAAGCTTTCTGCCTGCACAGAGTGGATAGTCAGACAAAATAAATCATCATAAATACATTATTTTATATTTATTACTTTATTTTTATTCTCATTACTTTACAATTATAGCACTAGGACTACACAATAAGGAAAGGATTCTGGATCAACACCATGCTGCAAACTTGTGGCCATAGTATGTACAGTATTCTGGAAAAGGCATAAAATGTCACTGTATGTGTGTGTGTGTGTGCATGTTTTATTTTTATATATTTTTTAATTATTACTCATGTCATAACATTTTCCCAACATGCCCTGTAAGGACATGAGGCGAAAACAGTGACAAAAGGAGCAGTGTGAGAACAGGTAATAACAACATATGTACTGCGTGTGAAATGCAAGACGATTCAACCTACCATTTCTGTCTGCCGTTTATTTACTTTCCGGCTCTTCGAAATGTTTCGGCAAAATGTTGAGGAAAAGCACCGGGTATTTTAAAATGGACTAATAATGAGGTGGACAAAAGGAGCTATGTGAGGCTGCTAAAGGCAGTGGATCCCTCACCAGCTGGAATAAAAAGAGCACAGGTAGCAATAACACATGTACCAGTTGTTGGATTGCAGAGTTATTCAAGTACAAAAACAATAATAAACACAATGTTTTGGTTCTATGACATTTTCTATCATTACTTTTTTATGGATTAGGTGCAAGAGTTGTTAAGTGTGGATAATTAAATAATAGATTAATGCAATAGCAAATTGTGCCTTGTTCTCAGATGGACAGCAAGTGGAAAGTGATGGATGAGATGAGGAGATGGAAGGAGAAAGAGAGGCGAAGAGTGTTTCACAGGCAGAGCCTAGTTTATTTCCCACAGTTTGTTTGTTTTTTAATCTGTTGCCTTGTGGTTCCAAGCGCTGTCACCAAACTTTGCATTTTATTATTCTCTCATAGCACTTGTTTAATAAGCTACCATTTCTCCTATGGACTTTTGAATGCCTGCAGTCTCAGATCAACACAGCCCTGCCCTCCAGCACTATCAGCAGCAGGAGCAGCAACAACCCCACAACAGCAACATTGTACCCAATCAGGTAAAACATAGTCTACGTTTGCTTTGCATTGTCCCCACCTGATGATAATGATATAGTGTAATGTGATTCCATATTATTATTCTTGATGAATGTGGATTGTTGTTATTCAGCCTATGTGCCCTTTCAAACATCTCTGCACGGCCCTGATCATCGACAAAATGTCCCCATCTTTCTCTGCAGCAGATGGAATCATTACAACTGTTTCTCCTTTTAAGGAAACACACTGAAATTAATTATGTTAAACTCAGTTAAAATCTCTACTTTCACTGTTTATTATTTCAAAGATTGAAGAGAGATTTTGATAATTTTCTGTTTTTGTGGTCATTTTAAGGAGCTGATAGATGAATTTAAAATCACTGGTTGAATGTTTAAGGCTACTTTAGGCTTATTGAATCAAACATGATGTTTGTTTGAGGAAAATGTGGTCTCATGTGTTGCAAAAACAAACGGAAAATCTTTCCACAACTCTGGAATCTATCTCAACTTGACCAATATGCTTTGTTTGTCCAGCTGTATTTTTTAAGAATAAATCCACCATTGCTTGCTTTTCCACTTTCACCTAACCGTTCCCTTGTGGGTATTTGGGTGCTCTTATCTAGTTAGACCTTTTTTTTAAATACACTTTTCAGAGCTTTGGGATCCTTCTCAGCTGGATCGATATGCTTTGTTTGTCAAGCTCTATTTTTTAACCATATACCCACCATTGCTTGCTTTTCTACTTTGATGCAACCCTTCCCTTCCTTTGGGGACCTCTTATCTGAGCCTGGAAATCAACACCATTTGCAACTAAGCATTTTTGGCTATAAAAAGGGAAGCAGCAGCAGTTGTGGACACATTCGGACAAGGAAAAATACCATCATGAGGAGTCTGTTGGTTTTGCTCTTCTTGGCTGTGGCCAACGCCAAAATCTTCGAGCGCTGTGAATGGGCCCGCACGCTCAAGGCTAATGGCATGGATGGCTACTATGGAATCAGCCTTGCCGACTGTGAGTACTAGCATGTCAGCTTAGGAAAATGCAAGATAATTCTTAACTTGTACATTGTTACCAATGCCATGTTATGGGTAAGGTCATGGTTACCCATATGTGGAATTTTCACCTACTTGCTTTTTAATAATATTGGTGCGCAGAGAGTCCAACTTACCGATCTATCTTCCAACTTGTGTAACCTTAGTTTTTAAAATCTGTCAAGAATGTGATTCTGACCAAGCATTAATATATGAAAAACAGGTAAATTTTAGTTTACCTGACACTTAGCTTTCAAGTTGTCTATACCTCCAGCTCTTTTTTTCTGTCTGCAGGGGTTTGCCTCACCCGATGGGAGTCAAACTATAACACCATGGCCAAAAACACCAACAATGACGGATCCACCGACTTTGGCATCTTTCAAATTAACAGCTACTGGTGGTGCAATGACTACATCATCAACTCGCATAACGGATGCAACATGGACTGCAGTGGTCAGTCATGAGCCTCAATAGGTTTTTAGCTCAGGTCCTCTTGCTGTCTGAGTGATGGCAATCTTTAACCTTGTGAGGTGTTAGTCATCATAGGTCCTAACACTTACCTTATACTTTAAAGAAAAGCTAAATAAATTATTTTGGGGGGAATCAGAATAGTTTCTGATGGGTGTTTCCTGACTGCCAAGGATTAGGAGAACTTGGGAAATTTAATAAAACAAATATTACATTTTCTGCTTGTCTGCATGAGTTAAGGTTGAAAGGGTTTAGGGTTGGGGACACCATCAATGATGACTTAGGGCTGGTCATCACTGATTTCTATAACTGATTAAATTCCAATTCGCAAGGTCCTGATTCGATTCAATCCCCAATTCGATTCAGTTTTGACTCAGTCAGAAATATTATAATTCTGATCATTTATCAGTACATATCCATATTGTATATCTATGTATAAAAACTAAAGGTGACACTTGTTAGACTTCATTAGAGGTGTAAGCATCACACCAGATGATATCTGAGCATAAAACACAGAAAAACATGAAGAGGATTTTCCTGGCCTGGCTTTTTATAGCAGATAAACCTTAAAAATATTCTGCAACTGATCAAAAACTGAAGAAAACCATGGATAAACATATGAACATTACCTGATGATGCTGAAATGAAGCAGAACAAAGTTACAGAGGTTTTATTAGAGACACAGCTAAGCATTTTGCAATTTGACATAGTTTGTAAAAGTTTAAATTTATTCTGTATTGAACATCATACCGGTTTGTAATAAGCGACTCATGCAGAAAGTAGAGCTTTTTGATGGTAAATGGTTTCTGAGTACACTGAGAGAGAGAGATTTTTATCATGGTGGAAGCAAAACAGCCAAAGTAAGAGGGGATTAATGACAATGTTTTTCAAACATGAAGCGTAGTTTTGATCTTCTTTTGCTGTTGGTTCAGTGAATTTTGGTCAGAGAGTGACGAAACCTGAAGCTGCAGAATCTGTGAGATGTCAGCTTTCAGCACCCAATGGGGTGTCTGCATACGTGCCATCCGGTGAACGATCCACACTTTGTGCTTACATCTTTGTGCTTACATCTTTGTGCGCAATCATTTTACCTGTTCTCATTGCCTGTTTTAGCCGTTTGGCAGCTGTTGAAACAGTTTGCTGAGCTTCAACCTAAGATTCTGACATTTCTGGAAAAATACATTTATATTTAAAAATCGATTCAGGATTTAATGAATCAATATTGCATTATTCGAACTAAAATAAACCCACCCCTACATAGACCTCAGAAGGTTAAAGCATAAAGCTAATACTTTATAAGTTGCGTATCTGGTAGTTTTAAACATATTCTTAAATGTGATGCTTTAAAGATCAGGAGGCAGTCAAGACCCAAACAGAACCAAAGCTCCAATGGGATGCTCTGTGTATGCTGGCTACAGAAGTAGACACTTTTGTATACCCTCTATCCCTCCAAAAAAACGCTCTTACTTCTCAAATACTTACCTCTGTGCATGGGAAATTACTCTTAGTAAAAAGCAGCATGTTAAGTGCAACATTGGTACTGTCCATGATTGGTCCTTTCTGTCACTTGTATCTGTCTCTATCCTTATAGCAGCAGATACAGGTGGTTATAAACTGCTGCACAGGACATAAAAAAATGTTTACGTTAATACTCTATTGGTCTGCGAATACTGGTCTTAAGACCACTTTTGCTTTGTGTTAATTTTTATTTTAGATTTGAAGTTTACTACTGCTGTTGGAACAGCTGAGGGCTACAGGCTTTTGCCCTGATTTCTTCAACATTGCTTTTACAAGAGCAATAACATCGCAATTAAATTAAAATGAGAAGAGTGTACACTTTTCAGAACAGTTTTGCATTCAAGCTAGTTCAACATTGGTTAATTCTTAAATTCTTGACACAGATTATTAGTTATTTAGGTTGAGAATGTAAATGAAAGTGTACATGGACATTTCTAAGTTTGGGGTACTCTCCTTAATGGCAGACCAGTGCAGCATTCACAATACTGCAAGAAACTGCTTCAAACCACCTAAAATCCTGTCTCATTATGTCCTAAGTTGACTAAATTTTAATATTGTCATTTGACTCACTTTTTTCTCAGTTTCAGCAATGCCAGCTACAATTTTGATGTTTTACACTTTTGATTTTTACGTTGCTGTCCTTTTTTCCCCATTTTTGGTCACAGCGTTTTTGAGCGATAATGTCAATGCAGCAATCACCTGTGCCAAACGTGTCGTGCGGGATCCTCAAGGCATCAGTGCCTGGTAAGAATGAATCACATAACTGACAAACAGTTTCTGACTGACTGACCTCTTACTTGGTTAATCATACTTTTGTCTGGTTTCAGGTATGGCTGGCAATATAACTGTGAGGGTCGTGACCTCAGCTCCTATGTGAGTGGATGTGGTGTTTAGTCAGCCCACGGCAACAGGAGGGTCTCGTCCACATAATAAGATGTCCCCGTCTTCTTCTGTTTCTGTAATTTCTCAAATTAATAAACTGAATTAAAATCACAGCTTTCATTCTTTTCATGTACCTTTTTTAGGATTTAACCCTGAAAGTTATCATCAGTCATGACCCCAACCCTAAAGCATTCAATTGAAATATATAATAATCACGGCGGGATACGCCGGTGTGTTTTGCTGAACGGACTGAAGAGCAGACACTGAGAGAGAAGTTGCAGGTGAAACAAAAAGCGAGCCTTTATTCGGCTGGTGGCAGTTGATAAGCATGAAAACTATGACGCACTATCAAAACACTATGACAGACTATGGTGGGGATAACAGACGACCTGACAATGACATACAGAAAACAGAGGACATAAATCCACACAGGAGGTGATCAGGGGAAGTGGGAACACATGGGGAAACAGCTGGCTGACATGAACCTAATGACAGGACAGGGGAAGTGAAACTAAATACAATGAACAAAGAACACAAGATTCCTTCAAAATAAAACAGGAAACATGGAGAAAAATACAATCATCAACAAAATAAAACTAAAATACACACAACACTGGGCCGCAGACCCAGTACCATGACAATAATATTGTATTAGATTGTTCTTCCAAGTCCGAAAATCAGAGAAAAAGAAAATAACATAATTATTATTATAACTGGAATAAATAAAAATGATTTAGATATTACAATTCTGCTTTCTCAAGTGGGTAGGATTATCACCAGTGATGACTCAATGATTTCTGTCCATGTTTTAGCTACAACTGGAGACCTGTTCATGACACTAACAAGTGAAGAGGTTTGATGGGTGTCTGTTACTTTCTTTGTTCTCTGACTTCCAGGCATGGGAGAGCTTGACAAATGTAATAATATTCTAATATTTAACCTCCTAGGACCTGGCGTCCACATATGTGGACATCACATTTTGGGTTATTTAGACCAAAATACTCAATTTTGCTCTACAAGGGCCTGATATCCTTTTACGAGGACATTATACTACTACAGTTCTATTGAAATTTTAAACGAAACAGAATGTAACCTATGTACAAAAGAATTTACTTTTAATTTATAATTGTATGTTTTAGTACAACATCTACCACTTCTACCTGCAGTATGCTGCTTATATATGGATAAATATGGTGACATACTTGTGAGTGACAGCAGGATGGATAATTGCATTAATGATGCTGGGCACTGATTGGTGGGTAATTCCTGTGAATAGGGGTGTCAAAACTATGGTCTGACAGCCAGAGCCTGATAGATGGTCTAACCTGGCAATCTAAAGGAGCTGGCAAGCTCATTTACACATGCAGCCAAGCTAGACTTGGCTGCATGTGTAAATTGCAAAGAAGGATTTCAGGCTTCTAGACCTTGTTGATAGAACAATTGGAGATTATGTATCGGAATTTCAGGAGCAGGACCACGTGTCACGGGTTGCCAGGGAAAGCCGTGTGTGAATTATTTAGGACCCAAGAAGTGGCAGCTCTGGTGCAAGTGAGTTTATTAAACAAATGTAGATACAAACAGAAATGACGAGGGTGAACATGAAACTAAGAAAACCTAAACTGGGAAAAACTAACCAGAAACAGAGATGCAGGGAGGCACAGGGAACTACACAGGATGACGGACAAAGATGCAGACAAACCAGCAACGAGGACGAGGGAACACACTATAAATACACACACGAGCAATCAGGGGATGGAAAACAGGAGGGAAACACACCTGGGAGACATCACAGCTGACGAGGCAGGGGAAACGTAAACAGAACGCACTGACATCAGACAGAGACCTTCAAAGTAAAACAGGAAACGCATGCACATAATGACACAGACTCAGAGACGCGGACTAAACACAGAGACCTTACTACACTAAAGGGGATACACAAGCAGGGATGACACCAAACAGAGGGAACACAACTAAACCCTGGGAAACCCAAAACAACAGTCATAATACATAAAACTATTAAAAGTAAAAGTACACAACCAAAAACACTGGGTCACAGACCCAGGACCACGACACCACGCCTCCAAACATGCTCCTTCCGGTTGTCATCTATATAGGTTCCCCCACTTCTGCAAGCTGTTCATTCTCTTTACGTGCCCCGCCCTCCCTCCCTCCTTGTTCTCAATTCTTTAACTTCTTCACTCCTATTTAGTACACGGGGATCTGCCAGGGAGCTGTTGCCAGTCCCCTTCGAGGCCTTCCCCAAACCGCAGCTCAATTCATGTCCAAGCATTCACCTTTACCTACTAAAACGCTGTCAAACCTAAAATGAGGACGAGGTGAAATTTTTCATCCTGAAAGTTTTGCCGATGACCTGGTTAAGACAGGATTGTGTCATTAACAGAGGTTGTTAAAATTTCACCCAATAAAGCCTGAAGTGTAATCAGTATTAAAAGCATTTTTACTGATAGGTCTTAACTTATACTGATCCAATCCACTGGTGAATACAATAGGATTTATCTGGCCGATGAAGTAAAATGAATTTCATTTTTCTGCCATACAGAGTGTCTTAGCCGTCTAATCTTGGCTAGTTGAGCAGTGTTAACCCTGTGAACTCTGTGAAGCCATCACTGGTGATGACACCAATTCTATCTATCCATTCATTCATTCACTTTTGCTTATCCTTTTCAGGGTCGCGGGGGGTGCTGGAGCCTATCCCAGCTGTCATAGGGCGAGAGGCGGGGTACACCCTGGACAGGTCGCCAGTCTGTCGCAGGGCCAACACACAGAGACAGACAACCATTCGCGCTCACATTCACTCCCGCATTCACACCTATGGGCAATTTGGATTAATCGATTAACCTATCCCCACAAACTGCATGTCTTTGGACAGTGGGAGGAAGCCGGAGTACCCGGAGGGAACCCACACAGAAAGACCCCGGCCTGGAAATTGAACTCAGGACCTTCTTGCTGTGCGGCAACAGTGATGACACCATTTCTAACCCTATGTTTTTGGAGAAATATGTAACTGGAGTTAGAGTTGGGATTTTTTGATAATAAAAAATGCAGGTCATGTGATCATTATTAGTTTGCCTCTGATTGCCAAGACTTCTCTTAACAGAGAGAACAGAGGGTTATCACCACAGTTAACTGAGCTCATGTTTCCTGTTGTACTAGCTTAAGCTATGTAACTTCATTCTAATTATTAATTACTGAATGACTACTGTTTACCAAAACTTCATGTCCTGTACTGGGGACATAAATATGTGTGTTAGTGTTCTTGATTCATTTTATCTTATCTCAAATATCTTGGTTTCTGCATAAAAATCAGATGTTGACCTCTGTTATTTCCCCAGTGTCCAGGTAAGGGTAGGAATATAGCTCAACCTGTAAATGGACAGTTATCAAATTAAGTTCAGCTCACCATTAGCAGTTTATATGGATTCATTTACAGCATCTTCCCTTATTTTTATACTTGTTGTTCTCTCATCTGTACTTTTGAAATTCCTGTCACACTTAACTCTTCCCCAAAGCATACACCACACATAATGTTCGATTTGGGCAGCAGCCCTTTTATTTGCCCCACACAAACACACTGAGGTTTTGCTTGTTCAGCCTGGGACACAGACACTACCCTGGTGGCTCGTTGCTCCCTTCTGTGTCTCTGCTCCTCACTGTCAACATCAAACACAACTCAACGCACTGCGTCACCCTTCCTCTGCAGCGGGCCACAGACCACGCCCCCGCCATAATTCCCTTCATTTTTTCCTTTGTTTAGACAAAGTGCTTTTGAGAGATGTCAACATGGCAATAAACTGTGCCAAGCAAGTTGTTAGGGATCCTCTAGGCATCAGAGCCTGGTAAGAATGGATCATATGATCATCTGATGTGATGTGATGGTGCTGCTTCACCAGACTGATGATCCTTGTGTCTGGTTCCAGGTTGGATGACGTGATAACTTTGAGGGTCATGATCTCACAAAGTATTTGGCTGGATGTGGTCTTTAACCAGCACATAGAAACAGGAGGGTGTCATCAACATAATAAAATGCCCCTGTCTTCCTCTGAAGCATTTGGGCTGTTTCTGTGTTTTTGAGCTAACTGGAGTGAAACACACTGAGATACTCAAACTAATAAACTGAATTAAAATCTTGATTTTCAGTTTGTGTTATTTATCGTTTCTAAAATATAACCCTCGATGTCATCATTAATTCATCATCAATTAAAATATGTCATTTTTCATCCCTCCATCTTTGACATTTATCCAGTTCAGGGTGACAGTGGGGCTGGGGTCTATCCCACCTCCCAAAGGGCAGAGTACACCTTGGACAGTTCTCCAATCTGTTGCAGTGCCAATACAGAGAGACCATTCACCTCTGTGGGTAAGAGAGAAGCCACACAGACACAGAGAGAGTATGCAAACTGCACAAAGAATAGCCACAGAGTGGATCTGAACCTAGAACTGTCTCGGTCATGGGTCGGTGACCTAGTGTTTTGAGTTTTGTACTTTTACATTTGATTTTATCATGGTTTATGACTGTTTGTGTTTTGGTTTCTGTCCTAGTATTTCTAGCTCCCTAGTTCTGTAGTACTTCCTGAGTTCTAGTTCTTAGGTTTTGTTATTTGGTTTCTCGGTGTTAACTCTGTGTCTTTCTGTCACACATTTCAGGTCTCTATATTCTGTCTCCCGAGTCTCTGTTAAGTTTACATGTCTAGAGTTCAGTCGGTGTTTCCTGTTTTACTTTGAAGGTCTGTGTCTCATGTCAGTGTTTCTAGTTTGCTTCCTTTGTCTCATCCTGCCTAATTACTCCCAGCTGTGCTCTCCTTTTGTGTCTCATTGCCCTTGTTATCCCTCAGTGTATTTAAGCCCTGTGTTTCTCTTTGTCAGTGTTGTGTTCTCCCTCATGCTGTGTGTTCCCTTGTGTGCTGCTCTGTGATGTTTAATTTATATTTTCCCAGTCTAGTTTAGTTTTGTATAATTTCCTTGAGTCAGTAAATAAAGCTGTATTTGAGTTTATTCCCGTGTGTTGTGAGTCCTGCATTTTAGGTCCAATCTCCTGCCTGCCACACAGCAATCCTTGACAAGAACCTTCTTGTTATGAGGTGACAGTGCTAAC